TCTTCCACAGGAATAAAAGTGAAAGGGTGGAGATGGGGTAGAAGGTGGGTATTTAAAATCGGTCTCTTTGGTGCAAAACATTTGTGCTTCCAAATGGAGAGTTCCTTTGTTTGAGTCCCTTTCTTAGCATTTGACGTGGATTTGTTCTGCTTTAGGTGGGTGTGAATGTCCCTATCCCAGTGCCTTTACCAATGTTCTCATTCACCGGCTCTCGATCTTCCTTCAGGGGAGACACCAATTTCTATGGCAAACAGGTAACTTTAAGTTTTAAAAAATGTTTTTCCTCTAGGAAACTTTCTTGTACATATTCAGGAACAAGGATTCTGCAAGGAAGGGCCTGCAGCAGCTTTTGTGGAGTCATATGTTGTTGAGCAGTGCTTGTCAGTAGGTCTCCTAGAAAAGATGTAAAAGTTAACAAAATTTTGCCAAAGCTGCTTCTTGTTGAATAACTCAAGGCAACAAAGTTTTGGGGAAAGAGCAAGAGAAAGCACAAGCCTTTGTATAAGCCCTTTCCTCTGCCTCCCGCCTTTCATCTGACTAACTCTTAATCATCTGTCATGTCTTAGTGTCTTTCCTCCAGAAAATCCTCTCTGACCACCACCAGCCCCTTCCTCAGTGCTGGGTTGGGTATGCCCTCATGCTCTCACTGCACATACAGTTAATCATTTACAAAAAAAATTTATTGAGCACCTTTGTACCAAACAGTATTCTAGGCACTACAAATACAGTACTGAACAAGAAAAATAAAGCATACGTGAAACCAAATTGTCAGGTTCAAACCCCAGCTCAGCCAGTTATTAACTGTGTGACCTTGGAGGATACACTCTCTGTGCCTCAGGCTTCTTCATCTATAAAATGAGAGTAACACCAGTACTTATATTTCATAAAGTTATGAGGGTTAAATAGCACTATTACCATCTTTCAGCAGGTACACATGTTCTAAGGCAGGAATAGCATGACATGTTCAAACAGCAGAAGTGGCTGGAACACAGTGAGTGGATGAGTAACAGTGGTAAGAGATGAGGCTGGAGAGATAGGCAAGGGTGAGGCATGTAGGATTCTTTAAGCCATGTTAAGAAGCCCTCCGTCATCATGCTGTAATTATTTTTACCTATCTGCAGCCCCTGGCACAGAGCACGTGACCAAATGTGTTAAACTAATGGAAGTTCTTTGTAGTCCCGCAGAAATACGGCCATTTTGGAACCTTTAGTAATAAATTACACTTTTTCTATATCAGTCTCTCTTATAGGTTAAAAAATTAACAATGGGATTGCATAGCAGAATATAACAGTGTAGCCAGTTGGTTAAGAAAAAATTTTGGTTATCTGGAGGCTGATTGTACAGTTTGTGCATTAGTCACAGCTTTTGCAAAATTAACTAGTTTGATACTATTAAAAATTTCTTTTTAAGTTACTCTGGTAAGTGAGGCTTCTTGGAAGAAAAGACTGACTTCATACAGAGTTGAAGTGTTAAATCCTTAGGTAATTAAATTGCTATTTTGCATGGAAAAGAGACTTGAAAGTATCATTCTTACATAATAAAATGTAAACTTTAGTTGTATCTTATACTGAAAGTATGTAATAATCTCTAAAGTTGTTTTCAGTATATTAAGCATGGCCTAGATTTTGTCAAAAAATTCTAGAAGAGTCTTTTATCTAACTAGCATGTTTTTTCTTAATACCTTTCTAGCTTGCTAGTAATTAGGTAAATGTTAGATCTATACAGTCTATTCTCTTTTGCTCAAGCCCACTGTTACAACATAAATTATGTATATGTAAAGCCTCACGTATAATATATATTTCATTCCTTCATTCTTTTCTATTCTTCATGAGGAGAGAAAAACATTACTGAACAGCAGTTATTATGCTAAGATATTTGTATGCCATTTCATTTTCCCCTCACACATTGCTAAGAGGTGGGTACTATATCACAGATAATGCCCAAGGTTACACAGCAAGGAGTAGAGGCAAGATTTGAACCCTGTGTCAAGACCTCATAGCACATGATATTCAGCCCTAGCAACACAATGTCCTGCAAGTTTAACGGATTACATTGTTCAGTTTTTCCATTTAGATGCTAATGCTCTTGGCTAGTTTCAGCATAATGACAGCTAAGGTTTGACAGTTTACTATGTGCCAGGTATTATGCTAAATGTTTTAGAAAAACTTTGATGAACAATATGTTGGATTCTAGTTGCACCTATTCCTCAAGTAGGAGTATGAGTAGCATTTTGCAACACTCCCTTCAAAATTTGATTAAAAGAGGAATCATGAAACCCCCTAGAAATATATGCTAACTCCCTCTCCCTCTCTTTCTTTTGTTTGTTCTCTTTAGGGCATCCAATTCTATACTCAGCTAAAGACTATCACTTCTCAGTGGAAAGAAGAAGATGCTACTCTTTCCTCACCTACTGTAGCCATGCCTACCATGGGCCGTTAGAAACAAGTTTATTCCAGCTCAGTCCATCCTGAGTAAGCTCTCTTTATTTTGACTGACTTCATTTGCCAACTTTGCTCAGATCAGATCCCTGGGAATGGACTACCTTGTAACTAATACCTTTCTCAGGACAATTAGCCTCTGCAAAGTTGCTATAGGGAGACTCCTAGTGTAACTCTGAAACCAGATTTTCATTTACTCTTCATACATCTGTTTTTGAGGTAACTGTTGTTAACTGTGAAATGTTTATCTAGAATGATTCCTTAGGACTATTTTCTAAAAATTCTCCCCTTTTCTGATAACTTGAAGGAAGGGAAGATTATGTAAAAAAGATCTTTCATAATTGGAAGAGGACCTCTTGGATGAGAAAATGGGACAGGAATAATTCACCCTTTGGTTGATCCTCAAACACAGCCCTACATAAATGCCTGTGAGAGACACCCCTCTGCCAGGCTTTCCTAAGCCTCTCATTTATCACACACTACACAAAATAGAGTCCATTCTACTTATCCCACAGTGTGACAAATGCTTGTTTCTTTTTGCTGAATGCCAGTTTGTCCTAGTGAATTATGAACACTAAATTCTGCCATTGTCACTTTTCCTGCTTAAAATCACTTCTCAAGGATACCTCAGTATGCACTGGATAAATCGACTTTTTGTTGTGTGTGCCAAGTGTTAGATTTCAGGATTCGCTTCAGCAGTCATTAATTAATGCTTCAGTCATTAATTCAGGTGCCCATAGGTTTTTTTGTATTTTGGGTTTTTTTAGAAAACCATTTCAAAAGTTATTTTACACCCAGAAATCAAGGGGTGTTCCAGCCGTGAAAGTGGGCAAGACTCTTGCCTTAAGCAAATTGAACCTGATAGTCCTTGACAAAATTTTTATGTTGTTCTTTCCTCTTGCCTTCATTAAATAAAAGAACCCTTTATATAGAGTGATTGACTGGGCCTAAGAAATTTTAAAGCTTTTTATGACATAAAACAGTAAAAAAAAATACTTTGACAGATTCTTTTGCTACCATTAATTTAACTGTCTTTATGCTTCTTGTTTCTTTGATGTAGCTCAACTTTAAGTCAGAACAGAAATTGATGTGCTAAACAAAATAGCTTCTGTCTTTTTGCTCTGCATCCCAATTGAATCTTATCTTTCTGATACGGTTTTCACCCACTGAACTAGGAGAGGGCTTCAGGCTCTGATAGAGTAGTCTCTCGTCCTCAGCCAGATGACATAGGTCATTATTTTTCTATCTCCCTATTAGTCATATGGATAATGCTAACCTAATCATGGGGTTATTCAGTGAAAATGTGTACTCTTTAGATTTTAGGCTTATTATTACCATGAACTAGATAGAATCTCAAAATCTTCAATCACTTAAGATGACTGGTATTTAGTAAAATACATCTATGACCCTACTGGGTCTTTTTTTTTCTTTTCCTTTTTTAGATTTACCTTCCTAAAGAGATGAGGCAATAGAAATTTATAGAATGCTCCTTGTTTTATCTCTTATCACATCTGGCCAGTGGTAGTGATATTTAATTCAATCCAACAACTACAGGCTAGGTTGGATAAAAGGTCATATTGCCTAAGTTCCAAATGGAATTAAATATAATCACAGAGACTTCTAAATTTTCCTTACATTTAAGGGAAATCACTTTTTAAAAAATACTAACTAATGAGAATTGTGTTGTCCTTATTGGAATCAATTTCATTGGCTAGCTTCTCTACTCAAAAGCTTCTTGTTTCTGAGATGGAAAAAAATCTATAGTTATGTTTATGCTAGTAGCAGCTAAAAAATTCAGTATTTTATTTTCTTTTTGCTCTGATGTGACCTCATTTGAAATTTCTCTGATTTTATATTGTACTGAATATAAATAACAAATTTTTAATAAAAAGCTCTTAAAAAGAAAATCTAGCTTTCTTTTTTTAATGGTGCCATACTTCCTTGTAATCTTCTTGTCCCCAAGCTTCTAGTGACTCAGACTTCCAACCTCTGTCCAAAGCCAAGAGTTACATGGTCATCATGTTTATTCTTACATAAAAGATAGTACATATTTTGGCTAGGCTGTATATTGCCAAAGGCAGTTTATAGGTTGTCCACACTAAAAGAGGCACAAATATGCATTAAGTATATGCCTTTTTCAGTGTGGATATTGTGATACAGATGTCCATGATTTCAACTAAAGGTATTACTCATTTCACTGACCCCTGAGAACTCCTGGCTAGTAAAGCTGAAGGACTGTGACTTAGCAAGAAGCTGCATGGAGAAAGGTAACAGTTAAGTGTATTGTTTGGTTAGATTACAGACTCTTTACCATGTCAGACTCTTGTGATCCTTTCTGAATTTTGGATATTATCAGTTCACCAGAAGAGTCTGTGATTGGTACTTGCTGTGTGATAAAGGTTTGATCTTGAAGCTTACTTTCATCCCTGCAATAATGACAAAATAACAGACCTGTCAATAACCAGACACACATGAAACCTGATTCAGAACAACAGACTTCTCACTCAGTTTTAGCACGTATATGATGTCCACAAGAACCACTATGATCAGGCACACGCTCATGCCTTCGTCAAGAGAGACCTTACCCAAATTCCTTTGTTTCTCCATTGTCCAACACAACATAATCTGGAACTGGAGGCCTAGAACTGTGGCTGTATTTCCTGTGGTGGGAAAAAGTTAAAGTGAGGCAGTGTCTCCTTGTGCCAGGTATTTCAACTACACTTTAAAAGTGCTTAAATAAATGAATGCTTCAGTTAAATGGGCTTTTCATTTTTAAAAATGAGCTTTTACACACACAGAGACAGTATAATGTTAGGCAAGTTAATATAAATTTATATTCTCTTGAAGTTGAGACATGTTGAACTTAAGAAATGAAAATATTTATTGAGATGATCATGATGATTATACATAACAGCTATTAATGGTGATGGGCAAGTTTGAACCAGAGTACTGACCAAAATAGCCAGGAAAATTCCCTTCCCATGAAAAGAACCACAAAACACAAAAAGGTTAACTAATGGAGACAGACACAGTATGAAAATTTCTCCTTATATACTGCAAAGTCTGGTTTAAGGACAGGAAATAAACATATTACTAATTCAATGTTCTAATTTGAAAGCAAGCTTAACAGTTATAAAAAGTATAGTAGGTTGATTTGCCAGCAGATAAAAGACACACATCTCACTCCTAAAATCTATCAACTAGGTACACATGAAAGCAGTATAAACTCATTTAAAATCTATCAATATTAAATAGTCTGATGATGCACTTTAGCTACTACAGGTGCCAGAGTTGCTGATGCACTGAAGAGTACAGTTTATTGGTTATACTCCTTTGACTTAGTTCCATCACACACACACAATATTGTACTATTGGAGTCACAATCATACACAATCATTGTGAACTCCTACCAACTTCCTAATTTTTTGCCTTGGTAGACCTCTTATCATTTAATTCCTCTCCATTCTGAGCTTTCTCATTTAATCCTATCTTTATCTCAGTATTTCACCATTCTAGTCCTATCTTCTTTTTCTTCATCCAACCCTGGCATGAAATTCTGACAGGCTTAGACATGGTTCCATTGTGGCCAGGTTCAAGTTCATTGTTTTGGTGTGAAAGATTTCACTCAAGTTCCTTTGTTCCTCCAGTGCTGAAAACAACACGGTATGGCACTTGAGGCCTGGAACTCGGGGGTACAGAAAAGTCAACTCAAAATGAGACATTAAATTCATTACTTACAACGTAGATCCTACCACCACTTCTTTGGAGGGCTACCAGAGACACAGAAGCTATTTCAAAGTCTTTAATCTTCCATTTAGCCTATACTTCTTTAAACTACTCTTTTGGTTGTACTCTTCTTTGTTTTCCTGTTTATTAATTGTGCTTATTCCTAAAGGTTCTAGCTTCGGCCCTTTACTTTTCTACCTTTATCCACTCTCCTGAACTCAACTACCAGTTTTCACTAAATATGCTCAAGTCTTTCTCCCCAAACTAACATCTGTACTCCAATCACTATTTACAATGCCTTAAGTGTTTTTCATGGCAGCAACATATTGTCACCTCCAATTTGACGCTGAAAATACTTTCTATTTCTTCTACCTAGAATTTTTTTCCTCCTTTTTTGTTCCTATTTACCTTTTAGAGGTCAGCTCAAGCTTCTACTTCCTCAGAAATGTTCCTGACCTCCTCAATTAGTTCAGATTCTCCTAATCTAGGCTCTTATACTACTCCTTTGAGCTTATATCAGTTATACTTTTGTATTTATTTGTGTGATTTGAATGTTTTTCTTCCCATGTAGACCACAAACACCCTGAGATTAGGTATGATGTCTTTATTTGCTCAACACTATATCCTTAATAATAGCAGCTATTCAGTATGTATACGTTAAATGAGTTGGTAGATGGATTAAATAAAATTTAAACATTTCCCTCACACTGGCTTTCCAGATTTTTCATTTGCCTTTCACATCACCATTCTTTCATTTCTTAATCCAAAAAACTTAAACATTTACACTTTGTTTTCTTTATTCATTTTAGTCCTTTATCACCACATCCTGTTTTTCCTTCCTGAGTGTCTTTCAGTTTCTCCCCGTTTTTCCTGACTGCTCCCACTCTTGCCTAAACCCCTCATTACCACATATCCAGAGTAGTACGGTAGCTTCTGTTGGTCCCCACCTCTATTTTTGTCCTCCAATCCATCATACTTGTCACTATTAGATTCAGGTTAGCTCTGAGAACAATGACCTGTGAGCCCTTCCAGTGAGAGTATGAGAGTGTGGCTTATTGCTCTTTGTAGTCTTTCAAGGCAGAAAAGAAAAGTGTTACACTGCTTTAGAATCTACAATAGCATAAGTTCAGGCTTTTCTGCATGGTTTTTAAGCCTCAACATAATTTAATTATAGATTAAACCTTATTTCTAATTACTAATTACTCTTACATTACCAAATTTCCTCAAGCTAGGAAGTTTTCCCTCAGTGTTCCCTAAATACCCAATACCCATTCCTTCCTCTGGGTTTTTGCTTAAGCTGCCTACTAAGCCCCTTGCCTGATGTGTCCCTACCCCCACTCTCTATTATCCCACTATCTTACAAGGCACGCCACAGAGTCATACGCTTTCAGTCTGAGTGAAGTCTTCCCTGACTACTCTAGCCCACTGACATATTATTTGAACTCAGTTATATTTTATTGTGCCACTTTATTTTTTTCCTTGTTATGTTTGGTTTTGCTTGGGCAACCAGATTCTAAGCTTTGAGATTAAGGGCAATGTCTCTCAATTCTTTGGAATCCCCATAGTACCTAACACAGTGCTAAGCATGTAATAAGCAATCAATAAGTGGGTGATTTCTTTTACTACTTTATAGTTCATTACTAGGATTATAGTTACTGACAAAACATAGTGGAGGGAATGAAAACTAATTAAAAAGAATTATTTGGAATATCTGTGGATTTTTGTTTTAATTTCTAAGTCTTTTTCTTGGAATTAGAGATTCTCTGAATTAATAATCAGCTTTAAAATAATCATTTACTTATCTTCGCAAACCAATAAAATCTTAACAATTGTTATGTTTCTCTTCAGTTACCACTCATTCAGCTGAGCAGTGTTGTACCTTCTTAGCAAGCATTACTTTAAACATCTAAGATTAATATCTTTTCTCACCTCCCCCTTTAATTCTAATTCATCTTTCATTTTTGTGCTCATTCATTCATCTCCCATTCTTTACCTCTGAGAGTTGCAGTATCTAAGCAATATGACTCATATTTTCTGGTCTCTTCCTATCCCTTTAATTCTAAGTGAAAATTAATTCATTGTTCCTATATAGTTTCTAGGGTTGATAACAACTTGGTGTTCCACCACAGAAATAGGGAGTTACCTAGGAACAAAACCGTTCATTTTTGCAAAGAGCAATCGCAAGACTTTCTCCTTCTGCTCCCAGGTCAAATCTCCAATATCCACATTTCCTTGAATATCTGTCCTAACAAATTAAAAAAAAAAAAAGTGAAAGGAAAATTATGGTCAATGTAAGCATCTGTCCTTTTTAAAAAATATAAAATATGTAAACAGGAGAAGAAAAAATTTCCAAACCATAACTGAATGTTATGAGGTTTCCAAATGTAATGACTACAAAGCAAACTATCCATTACATTATAAAGTGGAAAAGAATATCAGTACGCTAGCCAAATCGAAATGTTATATATCATTAAAATAAAAATAAGAAAAATATTTTTTCTTATGCTCAAACATCAAGCAAATAAACAGAAAGTTGTAATATGACATAATATACCCAGATACAAAGACAAAAAGAAATAAGAAACAAAACAGTTGTGTAGTGATATTATTGATAAATTCCCTTTAACATTTCTTTTTGTATTAGATAATTTTGCTATGAAGATAGAGTAACAAAGATAAATTTAGAAAATAACATGTAACTCATCTAGTCTATTTTCTTATTTCCTAATTAGGCTGCAGCTAAGCTTTCTAGGCAGGTCTTTACCTATACTATATAACTATCTCAGAAGATTCAGTCCACTTGCAATTTTAAAAAGCTGGCTGGCATGTAGATAGAGTATTGATGTTGAAACTTTGGCATATAGGGCACTTGGGATAATTTTCTTTAAGTTTAGGTTTTGCCTTAGGATCACCACATCCTTCAACTGTCCTTCTCCAATCTGCCTTTTAAGCAGATGATGTAATATTTTAACCACCATTCATGCTTTGCTGGTACAAGCAATAGGAAACTGAGGTTAAGGTGACAAATTGCTCAGTAGCAAAAATGTCACACAGAAGGCAGAATAGAAAAATTCCAGTTTCTGCGATAACAATGTGGAGAATCATTTCATGTACCTTCCTCTGAAAACCTATATACCACTTAATATGCAGTAGACAAAAAAAAAAAGTAAAAGAAACTGCCTATGTTTGATAGGGACTCAAAACTTGCTTGACTTGTTAAATAAAAGGAAATTACAGTGAATCTTTAGGTAATAGAAGTGTTATTACAGATTTCTGACTAAGGCAAGAAGGTAAAAAATTATACATAATATGGGCATTTTTGAAGAAGAGTCTTATCTTTCCAAACCCACTAACCATGTCCGACCTTCCTAGCAGCTACATAATTTAAAAGAACCTACAAATTAGTCCATTAAAAAATAATTTAAAGCAGAAAACACATTTAGAATTACTCTTAATAAAATGTTAAGTATATAGTAGTACGGAATCCTTTTAAGTTTCTTGAGTTAAAAGAATCTAATTGAATGGGGATATAAAGCATAATTTTAAGAATAATCTTTAAAATGGATCATAACTCAATCCATGATTAATAGGGGGAAGAGTGCCCTAACAGATAAAAGTGCTAACAGGAAGCGACTAATCATTTATAGAAGCTACAACTGTCTCAAGAATTTTGCTACCTTTATCATAGTGGCATTAGCTCTCCAGAGTGTATTTTGGAAACCTGTGAAGATTGTGATGGGGAGTACTATTGGGAGAGTTCTGTACAACAAAGAATTGCTATATTAATTTTTTAAATTATATGTTTAGTTAGATATTATTACCTATGAATTTTATCTCAGTAAAGAGAACTTAAAAAATATTTATGAAAGTATGTTTATCAAAAATGTTTAACCTCAATCTAATCAAACCTTTATAATCAGTTTACAGGACGTAAAATAAAGGAACATGTTAAAAGATACTACAATGACATTCTAAAGAACAAATAAGAAGATCTATTAGGTCCTACAAACTATGCTAAGCATATGGGTTACAGAGATAAGTAAGTCAGTTCCTGTCCTCAAGTAACTTTCTGAGTAATCTAGTCAATACTTAGATATTATCAAACTGAACTTTTCAGGGTTATTTCTCTAAAGGGCACAAAAATAGCAGCACAAAAGATAAAATATCAAAGCATGGTTAGTACCATTTTTCAGCCTCCATAAGATCCTGATCCACACTATTGGTGCTGTGCTCTCTGCCATCAAATGTTCGAATTTTGGGATATTCTGTTCTTCTTGCACATGCCTCCCGCATTTTAAAATTGAAAGCAGCTTGTGCTACTTGCTTATAATGCTTCCTGCTCAATAAGATCTGTTGCTTCACTTGGTGTAGAGCATCTAAAAAGAACCTTTCCACTTCTGTCCTCTCATCCAGTATATTCTTGGCAAGCTTCTTCACTCGATTCATTTCCCTGTCCTTCATCTGAAGAAGGTACTGTAGGTTGTAAATTTCAAACTGACCCTCTTGGTTATGTACCATTGCCTGCTGCTGTAGTTTTAAAACTTCCGTTTCAAACTCTCTGGTCATACAACTCAGGGCAGTCTCCAAGCTTATGACCTTCTTCTGAAGAATTTGGATTTGTGATCTTTGCTGGGTAAGTTGCATAATCTTTTCCTTAACCAATAAATCATTGATCTCCTAAAAATAGAAAGATAAGAGAGGTGAGAGATTTTTTTTTTAATTAATCTGAAAACTTAAAAGTTCCTCACCAATTTCCACTACTTCATGAGATTTGAGTTTGAAGTCCAGTGAGATGGTGATACTTTGCTATTCTGATTATAGAGAGTGAAAAACATCGTAGGGTCCTTGCCTGGACCTTGTCTGAAGATCACTGATTTTGCTAATTAAGAAACGTTCCTTCCTCTAAAATTCTGAAAGTTTAAATATTTTATATTATCAAGAGGGTAGTTCTAAAATCAATAAGACTATACGATAAAATATTAATTTAACAACTATGTACTGAAAACTCTGGCAATCTGCTATTTACCTATCCCAAAGTCCATTTTTCCCTTTTCTCCTTAGTAATAAAACCCCAACTTTACTCAGGAAGTCAGCAAGACCAGTTGAAAGTTCCCAGTCTCCCTTGTGGTTCAGCATGGCCACCTCAGTTCTAGTCAATGAGATGTTAAGTGGAAATGTGTGTAGAACTTCTAGGAAGAGCACTAAAGGGAAGGGTATACATTTTCCCTCTTGTCTTTCTTCCTTCCTGCTGTTTGAGTAATGGTTAGAGCTCCAGTAGCTGACATGGGCCATGAGGTGACTTTAAGGATGTAAACTGCATGTTGTAGAGCAGAGTTTAGGAACTGGAGTTTCTGTTATCTTTGTGGCACTACCATTCCAGCTCTGGATTGCTTACCTCCAGACTTCCTTTAGGTGAGAGAATAAGCTTTTATTTGGTGATGCCATTGTTGTCAGGGCTGTAACTCATAGCTGAACCTATTCCCAAGTGATTCAGGGACCAACTCCAAGCAAAGCAAATCAAATATTCTCAGGTAGTAGATGATAGGAGTTATATATATTTTTCTCTGATGTATTCTTTATAAAGCCAAGTCTAATGCTTCTTAGTCATTAAGTAATTAATTGTTTCAGATAAGAAAGGTACATCAACCAGACAGAAGAAAAATGGTCTCATTGTCCCTATTTATCATTATTTTACTCAATGCTTTGTATTTACCAACCCAATCCTTCAAAAAAAAAAAAAAAGATAGAAAACAAAGTCTAAATGAGAGTGGGAACCTTTTGATGTAAAAGGAAAGTCTGAGTCTCTTGCAACTTCTCAGAATTTTTTTGTAGAGCATCAGCTTCCTGCAGGTGGTATGCCAGAGCTTTCTGGAGATAAACATTTTCTTTAAAAACAGCTCTTCCAGCATTGTTCAGTTGCCTGAAATAAACAGATATAAGATCTCAAAACAGAGGCCTAAGTTTTAGATATTACCAAACTAAACAATGATTGCTTTAACATTAATAATAAAGACAATCCTGCAAGGTTGCTGTTATTAACCCCATTTTTAGATAAAGAAATTTAATTTTAAAAAACGTTAAGGAATCTTCCTACACTCAGTTGATACATATGTTGAGAACCAGTCTAACTTCAAAGCCTAGGTTCTTAGCCTCACATGCTACTACAGAAAAGGCAGAGGGGTGAGGAGCGGGGACACAAAGTTCTCTTTCTAGAAACAGTGAGGGAAAGTAAGCCAGATAATTTGAAGAATGCAAACCTGGACAGAAGTGGAAAGACAAAAAGATAAGTACAAAAGAGACCCGCAAAGAGGTAAGAGAGGCTATCAGAAAGGAAAAAAGGCAGCAGTCTCTTACACAACAGCTTCATGGTGGGCTCTCTCTGCCAGCATTATTATCTTTTTTTCAGCCTCTTGTTCTAGTCGGTGCTAAAAAAGAAAATAGGCTGTTTTAATACAGTTATATTTCTAACAACAAAATTTACATATCAAAAAGTTAAGTATTTATTTTATAATATCAAATAAAACGCTTCTATCCACATGACCTGATGTGAAATACTCCAAGTATCAATGGAGGAGCCAGCAAAGAGGGTAGCGTGAACACAGGAACCCTAGGGTACCTCCCAATTTCCACATTAAAAAAGCGACATGACAGAGAAATAGGGAAAACAATTCCACATCAGTATAGGAAAGCAGAACTGGGAAAAATTTTTGCTAAATATAATGAAGAGAGTCATAACTTATTCATTCAACAAATTTGTATCAAGTGCTTTTGTGTAGCCGATTTTTCAGATACTAGAGATTCTGTGGTGAACAAAACAGATAAGGTCCCTGTTCTCATGGAGACTATATTCTAGGATGGGATCCAAACAATAATAATTAACATGTACTTCATGCGTACCACAGTGACTTCTTCAATCCCGACTCCCCTATATAATGGGGTACATGCAGCTTTAGTTCTACCAGGGCAACACCACGCTGAGAGGGATGTGTCCTAAAGCCTTGGTAAGATGACAATCTCTCTTAAGGATTTCAAGAATCTCTTAACTGGAAGTAGGGAAGAGACTAGACATTGAGATATCTAGAATAGATTTATTTTCCCTGTTTTTTATTCTACTATGATTTGATAACAATCTTCTAAGATACCAAATGGAAGGTTGACATATCTCAGAATGTATATAAATACAATTATGTTGTTCTAGTAATCAAAAAATTTCTTAATTAACCCTAATATATCATACCTTTTCTTCAAAAAACCTGTTTTCCAATCTTCTAAGAGTCTCCTGATGTTTCCGCTCTGTGCTCCTTAAATTCTCCTTCAGCTAAAATTAAAAAAAGAAAAAAAACCCCAACTAGTCAATAGGAAATGGGGTTGATTGGGGCATATTCCTAAAAAATTCTCAATAAACACTTTCTGTTACATATTACCTCTTAATCCTGAACACACAGAAAAACTGTCCCTGCCTATGAGTACCCTATTTCCTTTAAACTTCTATAGACTTACAAGATCAGTAATAAGTTCCTAAAAAGCCTTTCATGAATAACAGTTCTCAGAATATTCAGACAAGATATTCTCATAATCATATTTTTGAAATATCCTCATTTTAAATGTGTGGAATCACGGAATCATATTTTAGAATTGGAAGGGACCTTATGAGTCAGATAATACAATCTCTCACTTAATATAGAAATCTCTTCTATGAGAAAAACATCTTGAGATAGAAGTATCACTAATTCAAATCTCATTAATTCATTAAGCTGTCCTTTAATAGTTCCCATTTTTAGAAAATGCTTCTTAGTATTAATCTAAAAAAAAAAAACCTTCCTTCGATTCCCCTGGCTGGATCCTTCTGTCCTCTAAAACTGCATATAATAAAAAGGACAAAATTCTAGGCAGAGAAAGTTGAGCTAATTTAAAGTTATGATCCTGGCAAGAATCAATCAGATCAAAACAGGCATACTCATTCTAATATTCATGCCATAAAAAAGGCTGTGAGAAGACCAGAGTTCAGGTGCTACCTCGCTCGTTTACCAGCTGTTTGACTCTAGGCAAGTCACTTAACTTCTCAAAGTCTCAGATCTCTAGGAATAAAAAGAGGATAATAATAGTAGCTATCTCATAGGAGTGTGGCAAGGATTAAATAACAAATAATACATGTACTTAGAATAGTAACCATTTAAGTATAATGCTTAATTGTTATTGTCATTACATCTAATATTGTCCCCTCTTATACTTAAGTTTTCCTTACTGTGATCTCTGTCCTAACTGCATTAAATCTCTATTTTATATGATCTCTTTTAGATGTTCTTCTTTCACCTTGTCTTATGTACATAATTTTTTTAAATGGCTTCTTACATTGTCAAATACTTTTAAAATTAATGTGAATATATAAGTTTATGGAAATGTCTACCATCCCACTGTGCCACTGGACTCCCTCAAAAATCTATAAATTAATAAATGAATCTTTTGAAAGATAATTAGACAATGCATATCAAAAACCTTTAAAAGTTTATGTTGTTTAACCCATAAATTCCACTTCTAAGTTACCCTAAAAACTAATTAAAGATACAGAAAAATATTTTTACTTAGATGTTCATCACAGTATATAATAGTGAAAAATTAGGAAACAGTCCAAATATCTAGCATCAAAGGACTGATTAATAAATCATGATAAATCTACCCAATGGAATTTCATGTATCTACTCAAAAGATTTTATAGAAAAACATGTAATGGCATTGAAAAATGTTCACAATGCACAGTGAAAAAATCAGGTTAACAATTTATGCATCATGACTTTATTTTTGTAAAAATAACATATAGATATTTTCAACACACCAAAATATCAACAATGGTTACCTCTACATAGTGTAATTGAGGGTGTGTGTGTATGATTTTCTTCTTTTTGTATCAGCTAAATTTGCTGAAATGGGTATTATCACTTTGTCCAAAAAAGAAAGACTAAAATAATTAATTAAAAAATAACTAAAACCTACCAATTTTTGCTTCTTCTGTTAATCAGATAGAAATAATTTTTTCTTTAAAATTTATGCTTTGATTACCTTTTGATAATCTAAATTTTACTAGTCTCTTTTAAATTTTATAATGAATTCTAATATGTAGTATAATTAATTTCCTTCATTTATGTATATCCTCCAATTTTAAGTTCATGGGCCCCCACGCTTGCCTTAATTATCTCATATTTGGGATTCCTTGAACTACATTATTTTCTTCCATAAGCCAGTATCCTTTTTGCCTTTGAATTTTAAGTCTTCTGGCCCAACAGCCCTCTTTGAAATGTTTGAAATCTATTTCTCCCCTAGGTGGCAACGTTGTTCTTTTAAAAAAAATAATAATAATAATCACACTGTGGCCAACTAGAATATGCATAGCTAGTTCCTAATTCACTTTTGATTCAGAATGTATACCTACATTTAGGATGACTATTTTGAGAGTCCCCGAAAATTTAAGGAACTTAACTTGACTCAATCTGCAGCATTTTAATATGAAACAAAACTTGATATGCCTTCTAAACTTTCTTTTCAGCTTTATTGAAATACAATTGACAAAATTATAAGGTACTTCAAATCTCCATCGTGATTTGATATACATTTACATTGTGAAAGGGTTCCTCCCATTTAGTTAGAAAACTTGATATCCCTTCAATTACATTTTTAATGGAAAGACCCACTCAGAATTTAACAAATATTCATTGAGCATTACTGTGTATCTTACATGTTGATTAATACAAAGGACAATACTGTTTATACTTCAAATAATTTATAATCTAGTAGGAGAGATAAGACAAATGAAAAATAATAATCTCGAGACAGAATGGGCTAGGTAGTATAAAAGATACAAAATGCTAAGGGAACACATAGAAAAAATTATTCTTTTTTTTTCTGCTAATAGTCTTTGTGTATTTTTTTTCCAGTTTATTGAGATATAATTGACATATAACATTGTGCAAGTTTAAGGTGTACAATATGTTGATTTGATACACTTATATATTGCAAAATGATTACTACCATGGTATTGGCTAACACCTCTATACTGTCACATAATTACCATTTCTTTTTTTGTGGTGAAAACATTTAAGATCTACTCTCTTAGAAACTTTTAAGTATATAATACAGTATTATTAGCTATAGTGACCAAGCTATACATTAGATTACCCAGAAGTTGTCAGTCTTATAACTAGAAGTTTGTACCCTTTAACCAATATCTCCCCATTTCTCCCTTCCCCCAGCCCAGGTAGCCACCACTCTAGTTTCTCTAAGTTTGGCTTTTTTTAGATTCCACATATAAGTGATATCAAACAGTATTTGTCATTCTCTGTCTGACTTATTTCACTTAGCATAATGCCCTCAGGTTTCATCCAAATTGTCACAAATGGCAGGAAGAAAATTAGTACTTTTAAAAAGGACTCTGAGGGAAGGTCTCATGGAAAATGCATTTGAGCTGAGCTTTGGAAGGACAGGTAAAATTTTAATGGACAGAGATCTATCAGAAGTATATTTCAGGTAGAAGAAACAGTGTGAACAAAGTAACAAAGGCAGAAAGATTTCAGGGGTGAGTACATGTCCAGTTTGGGTGGATTAAAAGGGGTGTGCATGGGGAGGGGTAGTAAAAGGAGACAATAATGTTCCAAAGTAGATGTAGGGTTTTGACACTCATACTAAGGTGTCTGGGAAATATTCTATTGTCAATAGAGAAATACTAAAGAAGATACTTGAGGGAGGTGATCAGAACATCATTAGAACTGTGATATTTGAAGATCATTCCTGTAGCAGTGTGTATTTTGGACTGTGGTGGTGTGGTGGTTTTAAGATACGTGCAGACTTCTTTGACAGTCTTCCTTTCAAATGATGGATCCTAATTCCCCACCCTTAGAATGTGGGTCAGACTTAGGAATTTACTTCTAACTAATAGGATATGACAGAAGTCATGCTATGTGATTTCCAGCTGGTCAAGAAAAGGATAGCTTCTTTCTGGCTTTCTCTTGAATTACTTGCTCTCAGTGAAGTCATCCTTCAAGTTGCACACTAAGGTAGCTTGTGAAGAGTCTCATGTGTGACGAAGTTGAGGCCTCCCAGTAATTACCAGCACAGATGTGACAGTCATGTGAGTTGGCACCTTGGAAGCAGATCCTCAAGATTCAATCAAGCTCTCAGATGACTGCAGCCCTGGCTGATACCTTGACTGCAACCGCACGAGAAACCCTGAGTCAGAACTGCTCAGCTAGCTAAACTGCTCCCGAATTCCTGATCCATGGAAATTGTGCTTTTAACAAATGTTTTTTATTGTTTTAAGCCATTAAAACAATAATTTGGGGGTGGTTTGTTCTACAATAATAGGTAACTAATGCAGGTAAAGAAATAGAAGTATTGGACAGGATTTCAAGACACTGTGATTCTGCTACCAGCTTTATAACTTACCACAAAAGTCACTTAACATCTTTGTGTCTGTTTTCCTCACCTGTAGAATGACTTAAATAAGCCCTAAAGTTTATTCCAGCTCTAAGACTCTATGAATTCTATGAAATGTTTTAGTTTTAGATGGTTCCTTATATCATTCATTTAGCAAGTTTTATTATTAGGTACTAGTCTAGGAATTAGTGAGCAGTGACAAGTACATACACAAGTAGATGATGTGGCTCTTATTCCCTTTAGTTTACAAAGATTAAAAAACACAAACATAAAACAACTAGAGAAGACAGTTATATAACTGCTATTTTAAGGACTTTAAAATGCTTGAAACCCATAGAAAGATCCCCCAGAAAACACTGCAAAAGGGATTGTATACTGGTGAACTATGAAAACATAACTCAGAACAATTTTAAAGCAACAGTTATAACGATGGTTATAAAGCAACAAGTAATCAAGCTTATGAACAAAGTCAGCCTCATGGAAAGATTTTGGGATAATTATACAATGATGGTAACACATTCCTTTCAATCTAAGAAAATATCTTCCCATTCCCCAACTTGCCTAAAATGTACTGACTCGGTCCTTTAATTAGAGCTTCAAAGAGTCCTCTAATAAGATTTTTAAAGCTAGATAATCATAACAATGATCAAAAGATCAATAATTGCTATGCTATTATTCTTACTAGGAATTAGTATAAGACAATGAGCTAAGTACTTTACACATTACATTATTTAATCCATACAACATCTCTAAGAGGAGATAGGTGATACAATAGCCACAGTTTACAAATGAGGAGTTGGAGACTCGGAGAAATTGAGACTATCCAAGGCTACACATCTATCAGCTGCAGAGCCAGGACATGAAGTCAATGATCTCAACTACTACATTATCTTATCTACCTTTTTCATTTCTCATATACCCTTTCAATTTAGCAGTTAGCTAAAAGGTAAACAGAAACAAGATAAACTTTGGTTTCCCATCAAAGCTTGTTCTTGCTAAGTAGCACCCTGGATAGCCAGAGGAGAGCCTGAGGGAAACTACATGCTGAAGGACACACCGTGATTGAGAGTGAGAGGCACTAAAAGGGATAGAGAAAAAAACTTAAATATTACTAACCATAATAATCATAATTTTGAGCAGAAGTAATAACAGCAGCAGAATAAGCAACAACAGGTAATATTTACCACACAGTGCTAAGCATATAACACAGATTATTTCATTTATTCTTCACAATGACCCTTTGAAATTGGTACTATTATTATCATCTCCATATTACAGATAAAGAAATTTAGCAAGATATCCAAATAGTGAAGACAGTATTTATACTCTGGCAGTCTGACTTCAGAGCATCAACTTTTAACCTCTACAGTAAGTTGCTATATGGTTATCTTTGGTGGCAATACTGCTTCTATTATTACTACTTATATTACTAGAGTATTCATGTATATTCAGTAGAGTGTTAGAGCAAGCTCCTATCAGGAATTTTGCTCGCAGGTTGTTAAAGCATTAGTAGCTTGAAATTGGCCATAATGAAAGTATTTACTCCCAAGGAAATCAGCAAATGCTACAAATCAGGACTTTTTTATTTTGCAAAGAGCTATGCACCACTGTTAATATAATTCTATGTGATATATACTATTTTAAGCACTTTACATACATGAACTCACTTAATCCTTACAACAATATGAGACAGTAACTCTTATTATCTGCCTTTTACAGATGAGGAACCCAAGGTATAGAGAGGCTAAGTAATTTGTCCAAAGTCACAAAACTGATTTCAGCTACCTGTGCCTGGCACACATCTGTGACATTTGTTGCATTATTATTAATGCAATAAAACTATCTTCTGAACTGAGGGAATGGAAAGTAAGAGAAAGAGCATAGTAAGGTCAGAAAAACTTTATGAAAGTACTCAGTTTTCCTCACCCTACTCAACCCTACCCAGAGAGCCTTATAAAATTTTCTAAAATTATCATTCATCAGTCTAAATATTATTCCTTAGGGACTTTGCGGCTTTGCCCTTAATATTTTTAAAGAACTGTAGTTTCTTATTGACGTCACTATAAAGGTTTAACTGCTGATAAATGTGAGAGGGTGTGCTGGCTAAAATATGTGGAATTTTCAAAGAAATCAATGCTTAGAAAAAGAAAAGTCTAACCATCAAGATCTTGAGCATCTAGTCCTAAACTGATATGTCCTATCCTTTTATTCTCAAAAAATCTCTAAAATGTCAAAGGGAGTCTTTTACCATCTAATAGGAGTAAATGTCTATGAAGGCTTTTGCAGACATAGTAGTCAATTCTAATCCCCTTTTTTTAAAAAAAGAAGGAAAGAAACTTACATCATCTAGTTCTTTCTCCACTTGGATTTTTCTCTTCTGGAATTGTTTTATTGTTTTCATCTCTGTTTGAATCATACTAATTTCTTTGGCTTTTTGATGGAATTGTCCCTCCAGCTCACTTATTTGCACAGTGTACTTTTGTTCCTATATGCAAAACAAAAACAAAAACAAAAACAAAAAACAGGTAAATGAGTTGGGAGAAAGAACAGAAGTCCCACAGAAACATGTTCCATCTGAAGCCTTAAGCCATTTGTCTATTTTCTTTGAAGAAACATCCCTTTTCATTTTGCATTGTTTTCATTTTTTTAAAAGATATCAAGTGCCCTGAATAAGAAAAGTTATATTTTTCCAATCTTTTATAGAAAATACACCTATTTATTAAAAAGAGGCATGAGAAGACTAAACAAATTTTTACTCTGTAAAAAAGATAAATAACATCTGTAACCCTAAATTAAAATTACTAAATTAAGAGACAAAGAGGACTAATATCTCTAATAAATAAAGAGGAATAAGATTTGGAAAAGAGGAAGGAAGGGAGAAGAAAGAGGAGGAGAAAGAAGAGGGAGAAAGAATAAAGGGAAGAGGAGGAGAGAGAAAAGAAAAAAAAGGAGGGAGGAGGAAAAAGAAAAAAGAATAACACCGTAAGCACCATTAATACCAGTAAAAAAAAATGAATAAGACCTATCAAAAGAAATGCAAATAACCCTCAAACATATGAAAATATACTCAGCCTAGCTCATAATAAGAGAAATGCAAATTGAAATACACTGAAATACCATGTCTCGCCTAACAGGTTGACAAAAATCCATTTTGACAATATACTCTGATATATTGTGAACACATGGATAAAAGTTAGATTTCTCAGAATATACCATGTTTGATAGATTTGACTTTGGAACCACATAAATATTTTACATAATTATAATGACATAATTACACAATGTTATATGTGCAATTTATTTTTCAAAAGCAACTCCTAAAAATCAAAAGCAAAATGTGTTGTTGAGTTGATGGCATAAACTTCCAGAAAAGAATTATTTCAAATCGTTTCTAAATCTTGTATTTTGACAGTAGATTCCTACTGGTATAATCCTAAGGGGAAAAGTGCCCCACAAAATCTTAAACTGTTTCTACTAGTCTATGTAGGTGGTAGTATTCTGTGACTGTTGATGTATTGGGGTTTAAAGCAACTACACGATTATATAGGTATTATTAAGAACCAGAATTTTTGGTGAGCGAGAAGGGAGACAGATAAAGTTAAAACCCTGTATTCCTGCATCTGACTTGAAAGTATTAGTATGGGCTCATAATATATTTCATGATATATTTTTAATCTTTAAAAAATATATATTGCTGGGAGGGAAGTTGGGAGGAATAGTGAAAAAGGTCAAAGGTCAAGAAGTATAAATGGACTGTTACAAAATAGACATGGAGATATAAAGTGAAGCATAAGGAAAATAGTTAATAATTTTGTACTGAATATGTAAGGGTAAACAGGGGTACTAGATTTAGTGAGGTGATCACTTTGTTGGTTTTATAGAACTCTAATCACTATGCTGTACAACTGAAACTAATACATTATTGTATGTCAACTATAATTGAAAAAAACCTCATTGAGTTATGCAATATAAATATGAGCAACTAATTGTCTATTATATTTCAATAAAACAAATAAATAAAAATAAAAAATATGTATTGTTTCATTTGGTCCACTGAATAGCCCAAGAATGAATTTCAAACTCAAGATGAGTAAGCACTACTAATACAAGATGGTTTTCTAAGTTTTCTACAATAATGTATTTTTATGGTATTTTTGAACTTCTGTACAAGTGTGTGAGCTTTAAGGTTGCTAAGATGCTCAGAGGACCTATTCATTTATTCTCATTATCTTAAATATAAGCTTGCCAGAAACCTGACCATCCAGTAAGTGAAGTATTAGTATACTTAGATACTCACCAATTTTTCCTTCTCCTCTTGGGCTTTTTCCCTTGTTTCGTTCAATTGTTGTTTCAGGTTTTCAATCTGTATAAGATGAAAATATAGAGTTAGGAAGGTAGAAAATGAAAATGCAGAATTAGGAAGGTAAAGAAATTGTTCTGTGCCGTGCCTTTATTATATAGCCTTATTTTCACATAATATTAAAACCAGAAGGGTTGGAGAGGTTGAGTAAGGCGGAAAGAGAAGAGGAGACATATACCATACCCTCAAACTGCTATTGCCAGTTTCCAAAACCTGGCCATCATCAGAATTACTGGAATAACTTTTTAATTGTGGTAAAGAATATAACATTAAATTTGACCATCTTAACCATTTTATTTATTTTTATTTATTTTTTAGGCTGGGCAACCTTTGGTTCACCTCACAGATTGCAAGGACCTTGTCAGTTTACAATCCCTTATTTCTTATTTTTTAAGCTTACAGCACCTGGTCTTCCTAGGTGGTCTCCTGTCCAGTACTAACCAGGCCCGACCCTGCTTAGTTTCCAAGGTCAAACATCAGGCTTGTTCGGGGTGGCATGGCTGTAGACTCCATCTTAACCATTTTAAATGTACAGTTCAGTAGTGCTGTTTATTCACATGGTTGTACAATAGATCTCTATAAATTTTTCATCTTGCAAAACTGAAACTCAATACTCATTAAACATTAATGCCTTCTCCAACATTCCCTCCCCCCAGCCCTTGGCAACCACTTTTCTACTTTCTATTTGTGGATTTTGACTACTTTAAATACTTGATATACATGGAATCATATAATATTTGTCCTTTCATGACTGGCTTATTTAACTTAGCAGAATATTCTTAAGATTCAACCATGTTGTAGCATGTGACAGGATTTCCTTCTTTTTTAAGGCTGCATAATTTTCTTTATCCATTCCATCATCGGACATTTAGGTTATTCCAGCCTCTTGGCTGTGATTAATGTTTCAACAAACATGAGTATGAAAATCTCTCTCCAAGATCCTGCTTTAAATTTTTTTGAAAATATACCCAAAAGTGGGATTTCTGGATCATATGGTAATGCTTTTTCAAATTTTTTGAGGAACCTCATAATTTTCAATAATGGCTGCACCATTTTATATTCCCACAAATATTCTAATTTCTCTGCACCCTCCACAACACTTGTTATTTTCTGTTTTTCTGATAGTAGCCATGGTATAAAGTGGTACCTCATTGTAGTTTTTATTTGTATTTCTCTTATCTGGGTAACTTTTCAAAAGAAAAGTTTCAAGAAGAGTACAGAGTCCTCATACACTCTTCACCCAATTTTTCTATTTGATTTCCCTATGTATATATAGATAGATCTATCTAAATACATAATTATATAGATACATACAGATGATAAACTTTTTTACATCATTTTTTCTGGACCATATGAGAATAACTTTAAGACATCATGATCCTTTACCCCTAAATAATTATGTATTTCCTAAGAAAAAGGACATTCTTTTTTAGAAGCACAGTATAATTATCAAAATCAAGAAATTTAAAATTGATATAATCTATACTCTATATTCAAATTTTACTACCCTTTGTCCCAATAATGTCCTTAATTGCAACTTTCCTTCTTCTGGTCCAGAATATAATCCTTGGTTATGCATTACATTTAGTTGTCATGTATCCTACCTAGTCTCCTCCATTCTGGAACAGTTTCTCAGTCATTGTCATTTATGATATCAACATTTTTGAATACTGGCCAAGGTTAGGGCTGTCTGATGTTTCTTCATGAGCAGATTCAGGTTATGCATTTTTGGCAGGCATACACTGCCAAAGTGATGATGCATTCTTTCCAGTGATTCACATCATGAGGTGATTGATGTCAATTTTAATCAATTGGTTAAGATTGTGTCTGCCAGTTTTCTCTACTTAAAAGTTACTATTTTTCCTTTTGTAATTATTAAGTAATTTGTGGGAAGATATTTTGACATGCCAATATCCTTCTGCCATCAAACTATCACCCACTAGTTTTAGCATCCACTGATGATTCTTGACTGATGCCAAATGGTGCCTGTTCTAACTCCATCACCATTCCTTGAAAATTTAATAATTTATTGAATTCTATTGTAAGGAAAAGCTTTCCCTTCTCCCTCATTTACTAACGTATATAGTTATTTATTAGTGTATGCACTCATGGACTTAAATTTATTCAATGGGTTACAATCTATTAGTGTCATTATTTATTTTGATTATCTCAGATTTGGCCTGTGGGAGCTGCTTCCAGCTAGCCCCTGTGTTCCTTAATATTTTTTACTTACTTTCTGGCACATAAAGACATCCCAATCTCATCTTTTACTTTCCCTGCCCCAGTGTTGGAATCAATCATTTTTCCAAAGATCTTTTAGTAGAGAACTTGGGTAGCTTTTTAAACTAAAAACTCCTTGACATGGTTATAAAATCAGAGGATACGGAAGTGAAACACTGTTGTAAATGATATCTTAGACTAGTTTAAAGAAAATCTTAAAATTCTAAAAGAGAAATTAAGACAGTCCTAAACCATGTAGGACAGGTGTGAAATATAATGATATTTATTTTGTGATTGACTGAACAAAGCGTTAAATACAAAAACTCACTCAAGAAAAATCTACTTTTGTTCAATATATAATAGTTTTAAAAACATTTCATTTCTAATATTTCTATAATTAACACGAAATAAGACTATAAACAGTTTAAAGTTTAAGAAAATAGCAGAATGAGTAACAAAACTATAGGAGAGCTAGTTAACCAGGATATATTGAATCTACTTTACTTTTTTCCGCAAAGTAGTTTCTTTGGTTTTAATGGGTATCCATGATTGTGAAAAATTATGCATTTGCTACAGACAGTTGTGGGCCTTGATATATTGAGGTATTTCTTGTTGAAAATCAAGAAATACAAGTGATACTGATAAATGCAGACCAATATCAATTAGCTAATAGAGGCCACAAAACTTCTATGTAATGAATTATGAAAATTATTTGTATGGCTGGCCTCAATTTACTTAAGACTATTCTACAGAAGACAACTTTGATAATGCCCACTCTTCAAAAAGTAATTCTGAAAACAGGCTACCTAGAAAATAAGGTAAAAAATGACAATAATGCACAAAATTATATTTTATTTAATAAAATCTACATAAATATTACATTGTCTGATTTCTCTAAAATACTTTCAATATCATCTTGAACTTGATTTAATGAGTGCCTGCTTTGTGCCAGGCCCACACTAGGTGCTGGAGATACAGCACTGAAAAACAATTTTAAAAAGGCTCCAAAATTCTTTACTTCTGAGAGGCTTCATTCTAATCAGAAAAAGACAATAAACAAATACATAAGTAACATGCATATAGCATGACAGAAAATAATAAATATAACAAAGAAAATAAAACAAAGTAGGGGTCTTAATTTTAAAGAGGACAGTGAGGAAGGGTCTCACCAAAAAAGTGGCATTTGAAAAAATTAAGGAATGATTCATGCATTTGCACATCACCCTTATATAGGAGCCATGCGTTGTATCACTCCAACATTAGTTCATACATGTACTGAAGCAAACACATAAACAAACAAACAATGGGTGAAGGAACATATAGAAGATGTTCAAGCGACAAATAATCAGGAAAATACAAATTAAAATACCAAGATACCAATTTACACCCATAAAATTAAGCAAAAATTATTAAGTATAATATCAAGTATTAACAAAAATTTGGCAAACAGGAACTTACTCTAATACATTGCTTGTGACAGTATGAATTGGTATAACCTCTTTGTAGATCAATTTAAACTCCTATGAAGTTGAAACTAGGCATACCCCATAATGTAGTAATTTAACTGTCTACTCTAGAGAAACTCTCACAAAAGGGCACATGCAGACATATACAAGAATGTTCACGGAATGTAATAATGAAAAAAATGGAGTCTAAATGACCCACAGGGGGTATAGATAAAATTAAGTTTATTTGATGGAATATTATAAAGCAGTTATGAATAAATGAAAAAATAAAGCATACTCATTACAAATTCCTTAAATGAATTGAATCATGTGATTTTTGTGAATATACCACAAAAATATTATGTTGAGTAAAAAAACAAGTTGTAAAAGACATGTACAATATGATACCACTAATGTAAAATTTAAAACAAGACTATAGTGTGTATTGTTTGTGGATATATAATACAGAAATAGTTAAAGTAGAAAAACATGCATGGGACTGAAGCACCTCAGCATGGTGAAAATTTCCTTGGGTTTTCATGGGGTTCATAGAGGCAGATGGAAAAGAGAAGAATTTGGAGTTCCACCTAAATTCCACTTTCAAACCCACTAGCTGTGTGACTTTGGATATGTTACCTGTCCTTCCTGAGAGTCAATTTTTCATCCGTAAAATGGGAATGACAATATTGTAGCTACATGGGGTAATTAAAAAGACTAAGTGAGATAACAAAGGTAAAGTACCTAGCATAGAGTCTGGCACAAAATATGGTCTCCACAATGTTAGCTCCCATTCCTTTTTCTTTCAGATCTAAAATAATAGCTTTACTCTCAAACACTTAAATAAGGTATGATAAGATAAATTCAATATGCAGCTTAAGTTCATATTCATGTGATCATGGATTATTAGTGAATTTACAGATTATTAAAACTAAATATTTATCAATATCAAGAAATATATATATCATATACCATGCTCTTATCCTTAAAATAAAATGGATGATTATGTTCACTTATGATCATCAATCTGTTTTAGACAAGAAAACATGGAACAAGAACCGAAAATGAGAAAGACTCAGCTATGACAGTAAAACCATTCTGAAACAGCATCCTGCTTCAAGGAGAGTTAAAGTCAACTGAAATGTCTTAAGTATGTGATAAGTTTTCAAGGAATTAAGATCCTTTAAATATATAACCACACAAGTATAACACAGAGGTAGTTACTAAGACACAGGAGGGTTTCTACCTACCTACCATATTATCTTTTTCCTGATCCTGCTTCTTCAAGTAGCTTAATACAGACATTGTGTCTTTCTCCATTTTATACTGCTGTTTCTTTAATTCCTCATTAGTTTTTGCAAGTCTCCGGGAAGTATCACGATACTCAATCCTAGAGAGTTCTGTGACTTCCATCCTGGCCTCCCAAAGGGAGGCATTGGCCTTGGCTCTTTCCACTACAGATTCATCAGTTTTTGTTATCTTCCTACATGGGAAGACGACATTGACAGTAAATAACTATTCTCTACTATAGTAGTATTACAGCTATAATAATTTGTTTTGCTTGGCATTGCCTGGCACATATGAGCAAATATTATTGGATAAATTAGTTAATAAGAATACATATTTACTTGATAAAGGATAACTATCATAGTAGGTGCCTCTTCCTGGAAGAGGGGAACTTTGGAGCATAATTCTAAAGGACTAGGAAAACAAAGAGAAAAAGCATGATAAGTCAAATTCATTTCATTAAGCCTTCACATCTTTTCATCTGCTTCTTCTTTCTCTAATATTTGAACTGTCTTCTATTTCTACTTACTCAGTCTTAGACCTTAGCTTTCTCCACTGCAAATCCCTTAGTTCCTCTTCTGCATGACGATACATTCATAGTGTAACTGTAACATTAAGTCCATATTTCTGTAATCTTCTACCTATCCGAACCCCAGTTTTGTTTTTGTTCTAGGTTGGGTTTTTTGTTTTGTTATTGTGTTTTTTGTTTTTTTTGGCTAGGCCTTAGACAAAACATCAAGTCGCTATGTTAAATACTTTATCTGCTGGTGCCACAGTGCACCAGGCTTCAAGGATGGCTGATAAACCATAATCATTTATACAGAGGTGGAGAGGATATTTAAAAATAATAATGGCTTCAAAGATTAAAGCAATAAAAAGGGAGCTTTTCCAAAATAAAGATTATATGAGCAAGAAAACACTATCCCATATGTGGTAGGCACTGGATATATATTTAGATAACAACTAAGAAGACTTCACCTATATTGAATTCTAAATATTTTCACACATAAGTATGTGTGAATTTTCTATACTGTCACCCTTCATTCCTACCTCTCAAATCCTGATTCCTGATCCCTTTCTAGTCCTACTCTCACCTTTTCTTCTCTACAAATTAAGGCCAGCTTCATCTCAACCCCCAGCCTTTTCTAGCTGTTGACCTCTCTTTCCAGCATGCTTTAGGCAGTAGTGATAGACTGCCTTGCTACAGTCATCTAATTGCTCCCTGAAGGTATCAAGTCTAAGCTGCTCAGAGTAGTTGATACATGAACTCTGATAGGATTTCTCACAAGAGGACCACTAATACTGACTGTAGAAACAAAGCAGGGTTTCTCAAACTATGCGTCATGGAAAATCCCAGGAATAAGAAATCTGTTATCCTCAATGTTCTCCATTGTTGATGTGTGTACTGTAGATGCAGGGTCAAAAACAGAAAACATATGCTAGTGAGTTCCAGGAATGTGATAAGCCCTTGCCACTTTTAAAAAGTGCTAAACGATGCAATTATATTTTTAAAAATCACAATGTAGAATACTTATATTAACAAATGGAGGGAAGCTAAAAATAAGTATGTACATTAGGCTATCATTTTACAAAAATGAAAAAGAATGTCCTCAAATGATAATAGTGGTTATCTTTGGATGATGTTTTCTCCTTTGACTTTCCATGTTTCTCCTAAACTTTTTGTACTGGCATATATTACTCTCTTAAATAAGTTACCTCACAAACTTTACAAGTTTGGGAGATTTCCTTGTGGTTCCATAAATAGTGTTGTTGGATACCACGTATGACTCCATATGTGTCTAGGAACAATCAGGGTCATCTAATAGGTCTAGTGGCAATCCGGCAGCAACTCCAAATCTGCAAAGGGTTAGTGCTACAGCAATATCCACTTCAGAGGTTCCAACCAGTTTGGGGAAAGCTGAACAATTATCCAATGTGGTCAAATCCTTTAGGCTCCCTTTGAACCAAAAGGAATCCCTAAAAGGCCCAAGGAACTACTTCAATCATCCAGAGAGCCTTTAGATGTTCAAGATCATCTCAACCACATAGCAGAGATCTCTCAGACTAGGGGCAAGAAAGAATGAACCCAGAGCACAGTTCTTGTGGAAAAAACATCCAAGTTGAAGCGCACACAAGCAGACACCTTAATTTGTTATTGAACAAATATTAAGCACCTGCTATGTTCCAGGCTCTCTGATAGGTGCTGATGATATGGTGAATAATGCTTAGTGCCTACTCTACAGAAGAGTATAGTCGTGAGCAGGACTTCCCAACCCTGGCACTACTGACACTGAGCCAAATAATTTTTTCCTTGGGGTGAGGGTAGGGGGGTTGTCCTGTGCACTGCAGGGTGTTAAACAGCATCTTTAATCTCTACCTGCTAGATGCCAATAGCACACATCTCCAGATGTGATAACCAAAAGTCTCCAGATATTGCAAAATGTCCCTTGGGAGGCAAAACAGCCCTGGGTTAAGAACAACTAGTCTAGAGCAGTGCTGTCCAATAAAACTTTCTGTGATGTTCTTTACTTAGGCTGTCCAATATAGTCTCCACTAACCACATGTGCTTATTAAGCACATGAAATGTGGCTAGTACAATTGAGGGTCTGAATTTTTAATTTAATTTTAATTAATTTTAATTTGATAGCCACATATAGAGGGTGCCTACCCTATTGGACATCACTTGTCTCCAGGACCTCCAACATCCCAAGAAATGTTATCCTGACCTTCACATCTACTGTCGGAACTCTTCCTCCTAATTCTCAGTTCTTTTCTCCTCAAGTAGCACCTATTTCATTCGGTCCTGTGTTTCTTCTTTTCTTAGGGAATTTATCTGCCTCCGTCGTTAATACACATGGGCAGGGGCTGTGTCTAAATTACTTCAGGGTCCCAAATCTTACACTCTATATTGTCTCAGGTGAAGCAATACGCTTTGGCATACATTTGGGGGAATTTCCAAACACTAGGAACTGTCTTCGGGACCGGGAAGAGCGAGAGGAGGGTCCAGGATGGTCGAGGAAAGCCGGCGGGAGGGCGCCAGCTGGTCAACTCCTGCGCCGGGTGGCCCCCAGACCCGAATCCCCGGAGGGGAGGTCCAGGGAGAGGGGATCTCAGGGTGGCTTCTCCTTACTTCTTCTTGTCTTTTTCTTTACTCTTGCTTTTCCTTTTGTCCTTTCCCTTCGACGGCATATTGTCCTCTTCAAGGGCCCCGCTGTAGTCGTAGTCTCTCCGCTACGGCCTAGGCCCGGCTCCGTCTCTAAGGAAACCAGCACGCCAAGCTGGTTACGTTCTACCCGAGACGTTGCCAGCGCGCGGAGAGCGCATGCGCTGTTACGTTGCCCCCCCGACGCCGCCACGGGCGGGGCGCGGAGGGAGGGGCGAAGATCGCTCCGAGGGCGGCGGGTCGCCGCGCCGGAGCGGCGCGTGCGGTGAGTGTGCGAGCTGTGGAGGCGCCAGAGCCTGCCCTGGGGGTCGGGCAGGGAGGCTGGAGAGAGCCAACCTCGGGCAGCAGCAGCACAGTGACCTGCGAGCCAGAGGTCTCCGGCGGTGCGAGGTCGGGGCGCCCTCGCCTCAGGAGGCTCGTTGCCCTACCAGTCGGCCCGCCCGCCTGTTTTGCAGTGTTCCTCGCCCGCGCGTCCTCCCCTCTCCTCACGCCCCAGCCTGCGTGGCCGCGGCCGCCTGGCTGTAGCCCTTGCTCCGCCTCAGCTTTTTCTGAACCTGTCCCAACTCCTTTGGTTTCCTTCTCGCTCTCCTGGCTTCTAACTCTTGCTAATTCTTAAGGGATGGCGCACATAGCGGACTTCCCTGGCTACACATTTTTTGGTGAGACAGTTGGGGACTTTTAGGAGGGTGGTGGTTGGGGGCGAGGCTGGCAGCCTCCGCGGGGCAGCGCACGCGGGAGTCCTGGCATCCAGGAGCGGAGCGAACAGACAAATGCTGCCATCTAAGGTGAGAGAGGTTACTCCGGGGGCTGGAGGAGCGTCTTGGGGTCAGGTCCTCCGCCTCATTTTGTCCTACGTAGCGGACACTGCCCGTCCAGAACCCGCTGAGGCTTCCCACTTGTTATATGCGTCCGCAGCTCCTTTTTCTGTAAGTTTCATAGTTGAAGGCCCTTGCCTCTTGGTCTTTTTTTTTTCTTCCCCTTTAACCAGAGCACACCTGTGAAAAGAAGTACTCGGAAGTATTGTTCTCTTTTTTGAGAGGAGGAGCTCTGTAATTATGCCTTCATTCAATGATAGTGAGTCGTTAAGACAGAGAATTATGGGTGCCAAGACCATAGTTAGGAAACTTGTTGAAGCTCAGCTTTGCGTCAATCTGCATTTCAAATTGAATTTAAAATTTCTTTTAAAAACTTCATTGTGCATCGTCCCTCTCCATTTCCTTGGGGAGAACTTAATCCCTCCACCCCTTCCAGAGGTCTGTTGCTCTTTGACCTCTGATGCTCTTTCCCATCCTCTCTTTTTCACTTATGTTAATTTGTTTCTGAACTCTATAAATAGAATATGTTGATTTGTTAACGAGCAGTGAAAACCTTTTTAGACATACCATCTGCTAGCATGATCGTGGCTCTGTTTCTGGTGCATTTTTCCCTCTTTTGCATGTCACACTCCAGTGAGTCCCTGGAGGAATCTCCATACAACGGAGGGGTTTCCTCTGATATGGAATCTATAAAGTTACAATTAATTTTGTATATCTAAGGTTCTAAAAATTCACCGTATTGATAACTTGCTGAAAAGAGGGTAGGGCATCTTCTATCAAGGGCTGTATTAGGAATACATTCTAAAAATTGGTAATTGCAAAATATGAAAATCAGTCCAAGACTTTCGTTGTTTGAACATAGACCTACAGACTCATTTATAAACATAAAATTTGTAACAAGATTATTTCTTAATATGAGCATAGTACCTTATATTTGTACTTTGTAGTATGTACTCTATAGATATACATTTTTGTTAACTATGAGTTTGATTTTTGTAGTTAGAGTGTTGCGATGTGAATATGGTTAAGAGAAATGCCCAGATTCATAGTGTAGTTAGTAGACGTGGTTCTAGTATTTAGTCTTCTGAACCTTACCATTCTCTGCCAAAGAAGTGGATGTTATTCAGTCATCTGTTAGTAAGAAACATCTGATGGTACAAATAGTAGAATAGGAAGCTGCTGGTTAGCAATCCATCCGGTAGCATTTCCTTCCATAATTTATGGTAGGTAATTTTACTATGAAGTTTCAGGATTATTTTGCTGAATAAATTTGCTTTGTTTCATTGTTTAGAATGCTAATGATTTTAAAACTTGGAATAAGTCACTTAGTGTTTTGTTGACCTGGCTTTA